TATATTATGTGAAAAGTTATTTAATCCAATAACTAATTATTTAGTTTTAGTGATTAGAAGAGTATTTTATTGTTTATAATAATGTTAGGTCATTACCAAATTTTGCAAAATCTTGTCATTCCGAGTTGACACCATTTTAATTCATGCAAAGAATGCTATCACTATGTTACTACTAATTGATAGAATTTATAAAATATGCATACATAATTTTATCAAATTTTTTTTATTTTTTATATTTTATCAGATTAAAATGAGGCTGAAAGAACTTCTCACACTTTTTTTTAACGATAAAAAATCGGACATCAAATTGATTCTCATTTCTCTTATCGATATATTTTCTGTGAAAGTTGGAAGATCATTTGTAGATTTATCAACAGATATGGATGGTATTGCGTATAGAACCATCAAGAATTCTCATTAGACAAATTCTCATTATTCTCCTTTAAGTGTTCTTTTCAATTTTTATTAACGAATGATTCATTTTTAATGAAACCAAACTACGATGTCTGATATCTGCGAGTTGATAGTCACGTGTGAAAATGATCACATGCTGTGTAATGTACAATTTAATAACATTAATTATTATTATTATTAATTATTATTATTAATAATTATTGATAATAATAGTAATAATAAGTGATAATAATGATAGGTGATAGTAGTGATTATAATAATAATTATTGTTAATATTTTAAAAGTTGACTTTGTGCTCCACAATAGATACTCTAATTCAATAATCATGATGATGATAACAAAAATGTTGCCCATATCAATCACTATCAATAGTGATGGTATCAGTACCATTATTATGAATAATACTACTTTTATCGTAGTAATAGCAGTAATAGTAAGTAATAATAATAAGTAGTGGTAGAAGTAGATCAAAAACCCGGTTTTTGCACCAATTTTGATTTCTTCATTTCAAATTACAATTGTTGTACATTTAATGTTGCCAACATCCTATTTTCCTTCACTTATTTTACTTTTGTTGCAAACTTCAATTTTGGTTATAAGTTAAGATTTGCAACAAATAATAAATTTTTAATACTTGCAAAAAACTGAAATTTCAGCATATTGATTTCAAACTTTACTCGAAATGAAGAATAGAAAATTCGAAGTGCTATCTTATTCTGGCATATTTTTAAGTCTTTTCAATTAATAATTTCTAAAACAGCTAGTCAAAATATCTAGCCTTAATACTGTGCTTATATTCATCATATAGATGATATTGCTCATATTGATGAAAGTTTTACATTTTTATATTTTAAAAACTACCATTATTAAAGATCCGTTTAAAGATTGTAATTTTTTTTTTACTTTTTATTTATTCTATCAAATGCTTAAAACGTATCTGAAATGATTTTTTAAAACTTTTTATAATTATTATGATAATAATAATTATTCGTTCCAATAAATTTTTGACTACTGTTGTATGGAAATTAGTATTTTTTTAGTAATGTGATGTAAAATGAAAAAGAAATAGTAAGTAGTGGTTTACTGAATATAAAAGTGTAAATTGAATTTGAAAAGAAATGCATACATGTAGAAAAATGTCGGCTGAAAAAAATTATTTAACTTTTGTAAAATTTATAAAAGATGTTTAATCAAAAGCAGAAGAAAAACTGAGAGTTTTTATTTTTTATTCATGCTTTATTTCATGTGAAAGGATGTTTAACTTATGAATGCTAACATAAATAGTATTTTAGTATTTACTTAAATCATAGTTGAAAGATCAGCGAGCTAATAGTGATTGCATAGCTATTAATCAAAGGTATCACATGAGTTATAAGCAAATTTTGTGGTAATGTTGCAAAAATTTTGTATTAAGAAATGAATTTAAAAATCATTACTTTATTTATCATCTAATTATTATTGCATAAGCTTCATTTGTAGTGCTCAAAACTTCATACTCATTGAATATAAAAAGATCAACAATGTACTCAAATCTGTTATATCTGTAAAATTATGAATTGTATCAAAGTATTTATTTATTTTTTTTTTAAATTTGCTACTCATTTGCTGATATCAGTGATGTATATTTCAGTCTTAAAGAGGTTTTTATTTCATTAATTGTCATTATTTAAAAGCTAAACTTTTGATACTGAATACAATGATAAAATAAGTAATTGTCGTATTCACAATTTGTGCAATTTTATTAATCACTATGGTTTGTTTGAATTTTTTTAAAACATTAGTTTTATAAATAAATTGAAATTTATGATTTCTGTTTTTATAGTACTGTTTGCTAATTATTGTTATTCTAGTACTGATAGTGATTTTTGTACTAGAATTAATTTATCAAGTTTAATTAATAATCAAATACATATTGGCACTTTAGCTTTAGTCTGAATCGTTGATATTTTCAATCTTTATTTTTTCACGTTTAGTTTGATTTTTGCCTTTGTAAAGAATAACAGAATAGGCAGGCAATCAAATTCCTAAAATTACACTTTTCGCTTCCAAATTAATAATTCGTATTTTACATTTTCTATTATTTGCTAAGTAAAAAAAAATATGTAAAAGATATGCATTTCTTGCGACTATGAACGACTATGAATATCACTATATACACATACATACATGCATGCATGCATGTATGTATGTGTATATAGTGATATTGTATGTGCATATACTGATAATATTGTGTGTTTATTTTAAAATTTCAAACAACTATATTTAATCAAGTCATTTAGAATTAATTACTTGAGTTAAAAATTTTTCTAATTTAAGTTCTTTATAATGCTATTACTATTAATTAATTTGCTCTAACTTAATTTTAATATTTAAGCGAGATTGAATTATCATAGTTTTTCTTAGTTAAAAAGGTCTTAAACGAAAAAAAATTGATTATTATTTTTTTCATTTTCTGAATTAATTTTACGTCTAACTTTGAAATCAAACAATGACCTCAGATTTAAATTTTAAAGTACAAATGTTTAATTTTCAAATTGCAATTATAAAAATGCTAATTGAATGTTTCATTTAAATTTCATTTTTTCCAGTTTGTAATGTACTCTTTCCTCCATTATAGCAAATAAATTAATATAATTGAGTATTAGTGCAATTTTTTCCCTTTTAAAAGCGATAATTAGAATATATTATTAATTAAAAGAGTTTTATTCTATTAATGTTTAATTTTTGATTGCAAGAAAAAAGCAAAGGTGAAAGTTAACTCGAACTTTCTTCCTATCAAATTTTTTTTGCAATGAAATGCAAAAGACAGAGAGCACTGCAATAGTAATAAAATGACTTTTTTTGAGAATATCATTTGTATTTCTATTTTTTGCTCATTGCATTTGATAAGAAATAGTAAATTAGTGTAGTCATTGAAAGATGAAAGTTTGAAGAGAAATAAAAATTTGTAAAGTTTTACTTTGGTTCATTTTATTTTCACATGAAAAATCTAAATCAGTTAACATTATTAAATTAACTACTAATAATTGCATAAAGTGATGACAATTTTTAAAGTCTGTAATTTATAAAAACAAGCAGTAAAATTTTTTACAAAACTTTACGCTTAAGTTAATTATAGCAGAAAAACATGATAACCAATATAAAATTGAAAATTCTTACTTTCATGCTGCTATACTTGTCCATTTTTAAATTTATTAATATCACAAACTATCATTATTTTTAACGACATAATAATATTTATTATGCACTTTATGAAATATCATTATACTGCGATGCTTTACTCAACTTCCATTTTAAAACTTTGAAAATAACGAATAATATTGCAAAATATTATTTAATGCGTTTTAAAATAGAAAAGATCTAAGCGAATAATATTCAATTATTAGTAGTAAAAAAGTTTGTCAACTCTAATATTATCTTTGCATATTTAAAAAAAAGAATGTTTTTCATCAATGCAAATAATTTTTTTGATTTGACTTCTAAGGCGTCATTACTGCTTGTAATTTTATCACTGATTACACTTTATTTTCTCTCAAATTTTATCACTACTGATTTTAGACACGACTAATTTGAGTATTGTCAGTGATCAATTCATTTACATTGTAGCTGAGAGTAAAATAGTTTAATTGTTATACAATAATAATTTTTGATTTAGATTAGCAAATGATATTTTAAGAGCTGATTGCAACTTTAACACAACTTCTGGTATATGTAATTCAAATTTAAAGTTCTCATAAATTACAAAATTTTGAAATTGTATTTTTAGGAAATTTTGTAAATGAAAGGATATTTAGGTGGAAGAATCATCTCTGGGCATATATTTAAGTTATATTTGAAAGCAATAATTCAGTAAATTGGTTCTGATTACATAAATTAAACTTTAAAATTTATATTGAATGAAAGAAGAGAAATGAAATTACTGCTAATTAACATATCAGCAAGTAATTTTGGTAGGAGAAGTAAGCTGTGCAAGTAAGAATTCAGCTTGTTCCCATCCTCTTCAGCAAGCAGACTTTTAATAATAAAAAATTTTGAAAAGACTATTTTCAGTGAAAAAACCTGTAGAAATAATAGAAATAACCGCTTTTTTACACTTTTTAATTTTGTTAATCACTAATTTTTTAATTTATCATCTAAAATATCTCACGTATAACGTGTTTAAAAATTATATCAATATGTTTCTTATAAGTTATCTCCACGCACGAAGTTTATTATTCAAATTTAAAATGTGAAGTTTATTTTATTTAATTTGTGAAATTTGTGTGTGTGTTTTTTTTTCTAAACTAATGATGAATAATAAGTTAATAGAAATGTTGATCAGTTTGGTTGAGTCAAAATCATATTGCTATGATCAGTACGCGCGTTGTTAGTATTAATTACAAAATTTATACTTATACTTATTTCATTGATTTGTATAAACTGATACTTTGTTGCTGCACTAAAATATCAAACAAAATGCTTTTGCTTAGATTGAATGAATCAGCGATGAATAATGGCAAAAACTATCTTACAGTAAAGTATGAAACTTGTTGATTTTACAGATCATATTTAGTTAATATAATGATAATCTGGAATTCATCATGACAATGACAGATGGCGATATGTTGAATATACAAATTTTCATTCCTGAACATCAAATTCAGGTTATTTGTACACAATCTTTCTTTTTTTGTTGCCACATATTGTGTATTTATAATATTGAAAGCAAGAATTTGCATTTCATTACCAATCATTGCAGTGTGAAATACTTCAGAATCTATTTCAAAAATATAAAAAAAAGGTTATGTGTTGTCGTCAATTTTTGAGCAATTTTTCTGTGCAAAATATTTTGAACAAAATTAAGAATTTTGAGGGATCATTTCATACAATGAGCAATATATTCGTTCTCAGAGTAGAAAAAAAGCATACAATTTTTTGTATATAATGCGATTAAAATTTTAATGTTTTTTTATCATGCTTATAGCATTTCTTCACAAACGTGATTTTAATGATTAAAAAAAAAATTAATTAAAAGGATTTGGCGCTTAGCCATTTTTTTATTTTAACTCAAAAACTTTTTTCAATTATTAATAATGAATTTCAGAGATGCTTGCCTGTGCATCTGGATGAAAAGGTCTGGGAAATCAAAGAAAGGCTTATTCAGTCACTGCAAAATGTGAATCTTATCATTGAATGTTTTAGTAAACAAACTTACTTCAAAATGTTGCCTTTTTGAAGTTTTTTTACTCATTTATTAATTTATTTGACAATGAGATTTGACATCTCATTCATTTTGCATGATAAATTGTTGACTGATTGATTTGATAAACTGCGTAATGAAAGTTAATTCTTTCATTTTCGCATTTTTATACTGTAAATAAACGATCAATATTCAGTAGTATATATATATATATGTATATATATATGTACTACTGAATATTAAAAACTAGTGGAAAATATGCAAATAAATTGCAGAAATTGCCACAATCATTCAATTATGGCTTATTTTTGCCACCTTGCGATGGACGTGCAGGCAAGTTTCTCTTAGAAGATCGTCCAGTACGAGAATATCCCTTCCATGATTGTGTCCCATATCTCGAGGTTATTCTTTTACCTTCAAGAATTTGAATTAAAATTTTTGCATTTGTATCTCTAAATCATTAAAATTTCGAAGAGATTCATTCCAAGGAAACAATTAATCCCTGTACTTATAAAATCATGAGGTCAATGTTCGTTTGAACTGCCCAGGTTTGGATGAACAGTATAACTGTCTATTATATTTCTAGCAAACTTTATCTCAAAATTTTTGCAGAAGATGTATTTTATGGTGTATTAAATTCAAAAAAAAAAAAAGAATCTACAAGGTCATTCTTTTTTATTCTGGTCCTTAAAGTAAATTTAGGTAAAACAGTAAAAGATATAAATTTTTTTTCCAATAATTACAAGTGTTGAACACATTCTCAAAAAAGTATTGAAAACAAGCAACAACAAAAAATGATAACTTTGAATAAATAATTGCTATGTATGAAATATAAAGATTGCTATTCCGTGATTCGTTTTAATTGAAATGGTATAAACAATTGCATAATTCATGTAAAAGAATCATTTTTGACATAGCTAAAGCAAGACAACTATCTTTACTCATTTAAGCTCAAATACAAGAAGCGGGTCTACAGAATGTTGAATATGGACGAAAAGCAATTAGAAAAACTGCACACAAAGGTATATTAAGCAAGCAGCTGTTTTTAGCTTCTTCATCACTCGTAACTGATAAAGTAAGAAAAAATAAGCTTTTTGGTGATAATTTCTCAGCGTTTTAAATTTTATTACTGAAAAATGAATCAGAAATATTCTAGGAGTAGTTTTTTTCAAATGCTATGCCAATAAAAATCTGCATATTTTAGTCCAATCTAAAAAAATTTCTCAATCATATTGCTCTCGGGCAGCTAAAGAAAGTAGAAGAAATGTGTTCTGCTGGATTTGATCCTAATTTCCATGATAATGAAGGAAAAACACCGCTAACGATGGTATGCTCATTACCACACAGCGAAAATTTTATTAAAGCGCTTGTAGAACATGGAGCACATCTGGACTTCCGTAACAGTGATGGACAAGTAATTTATCCTTTTTTCATTGTTTTTTACAATATTCAAATGTCAAATGTTGTAAAAAAAAATGCATATTTCATTTAGAAATGAATTTGAATTGATTTTTAAATTTTGTTTTGTTTAAAAATATTTTCAAACATTTGCTGAAAATGCTACTATTCTTAGATTTAGGTATAATATAAACTATTTTTACTTATTATCAATTTCAGAAGAAAAGAAATTCTATTAAATAGCAACACTTATGGATAGTGTAATGTAGAATCTATGAAAGTGAATAACAATAGATAGAATTCAAAGAATTGCTTTTGTTTATTTGAATTATTTGTAGACGGCTATGCATAAAGCAGCGTATTGGTCATTAACCGAAAATGTAAACTGCTTACTGGAACTTGGAGCATCACCAAATTACCGTGATCCACTTGGTCTCACTCCACTGTATTATAATATGCTTCACAGTACTTCAAAAGCTTCAATAGCTCAAATGTTGCTGTATAATTATTCTGATATATCTGTAACTGATTTGGATGGCAATCATGAAATACATCAGGTTTGATTTTTATCAAGATGTATTTTTTTTACATTTTATAAATTTAATTTGAAAAGAAATGATTGATTTGTAGTTTGAATGTTTAACAAAATTATCCTTAATTTTTTACATTAATCACTAACTTAAGACTAGTTTACACTTGCATATAATTAATTCAGTTTCATTTTGAAATGCTGAAATAAAATGGTGAAGTGAAAATGAAATAAGATTTTAAACTGTTATAATTACTGTAAAATTTAATGTTTCATGCAGGCTTGTAAAAATGGTCTAACACAACATGTAGATTATTTAATATATTACGGAGGTGAAATGGATGCTCAAAATATCAACGGGAATACTCCACTTCATGTTTGCGCCATTCATAATAGGTGATTATCACTTTATTGTATTTGTTTTGTGCGTTAAAATTACTTTACACATTTAACAATTTCATTAATTTTTACAGTTAGATTTTTGTCACTATTTTAGACCTGATTGTGCACGTTTATTGTTATTCCGTGGTGCTAATCCCACACTTATGAATAAACAAGGTCAATTAGCATTAGATATAGCTCAAATTCTTGGTTCTCATGAAACTGCTGAAGTAATTCTAAACCACGATCCACAAACTACTGGTATGTGCCATTTGTTCTTGCTTTTTGCTTCAATAATAATAACATTTTTCAAATCTTTATACATTACAAAACTCACAAGTGAGTTTATAAGTCATTCATTATTTCATACACAAATTTTTTTTCATGCATGCATATATATAATTTATATATTGAAGCAAATTAATAATGGGCATTTTTCAAAAATGTGTCACCACTTTAATAATTTTCAAAGTCATATCAAGTATTTAAAATTTATATATCAACAAGCGATCATTGTGTATCGCAAATTGTGCCTTCAAAAATAATTCATGCTCTATAACCTATCAACTGTTTTGTCTACAAAGAATAAATTGTGCTGCAAAAATATTATTAATGAAATGTAGGATATTAATGAATCATTCATAATGAAATGGCTACTTTTTTAAAAATTATCTTAATATAGCATATATTCATAATAATAAACATGAAAAAGTATAACTAAAAGCATTTATAATAATTATGCAAATAAATTTTAAAAATACTAAAATTTTGGAAATTATTAAGCTTTGATATTAATAACTGAGCTTTAATAAGCTTTGCACTGATTGATATGAAAATTTTTGCAGTACCTTACAATGTTAAGCCAACTTTCAACCCGAGAAGAAGATCTTCAGCATTGTTTGGTCGACGGTCTTCAAGCCAAGCATCGTTATGTAGCAGTGAATATCGAGCTGTGGTCCATATTTCAATAAATTCTCTTACGTTACACTTCAGTCTTATATTTATTTATATCATGAATATATAAAATTAATAACTTTTACAGATTGACTTTTATACATTTTACGCGTATTTCAATTTAAAAAAAAAACGTAACATGAGTGACCCTTATTTAATTTGAAATATCTGTTTGTAAAAACAGTGAAATATTATGCACTAGAGCTTCAGCTTATTCCAAACTTGATTGAAATACTAAGAATCATTACAAAATCATGCTAATTTCAGGTTCCATCTAGTCCGACACCAAGTCATATGTCAATTTGTAGCTACAAAACTTGTCCAGGTGACGTGGGCGATGGATATGGCACGATGAGACGATATCCTGCATATCAATTAATGAATGTCAATGGACTTGAGTGAGTTTTATTATATTTTTTTACTCAATGACACGAAAAATTTTATTGTTTTATATCTGAATGTTACTTAACTATCAGTATTATGAAAAAACATAATTGGCTTTAGTAATCTGAAGGAGTTGTTAACAGGCTATAAAATACATGTATTTAACTGAGGAAAGCTTGTTAGGAAAAAGTTTTTCAGTTATGCGATAAGGTGTGAAAAATAATTTCCCTTTTGCTTTTTGAAAATTGCTTAATTTGTGAGAGCTTTCTTCATATTAAAGTTACACCTAAATACTAACTGTATTCTTAGGATTAGCTATAAGGGTAAGTTTTTTGATAGGAATTAAACTAATCTGTATTTATTTCAAATGTCCATCTTAAAGATTTGCAAAAATTACTAATATCCATTTTCTGTTTGGCTTAAAACTAAAAGAGAAGCACTGAAATTTAATTTTTTTTTAAAAATAATGTGAATTTCTTATAAAAAAATCATGATTCAGTGACTTTTTTAAAGTCAGCTAGTTAGTTGATGAAAGCAAATACAAGACGTTAAAAAACATAAGATTTATCTAGTAAAATTCAATAGAATATTATAACTTTATTGTTCATACCATTGATTATTTTTTTTAATAATTAATTTATTAGTTTTTACATTTTTCATATATATTTGTACATAGCAATTTATTTTATATATAAGTCAATTACACTGTTAGAAATTAAAAAATGTGTTTGCTCTTTACCGTTACAAATGTTATGTTTGTTAAAGTAATCAACTAAATGATTTGTTTATAGGGTTAACAAACCACGTACTGTTGTAATTCCTCGTGATTCAAAGGGCGGATTTGGATTTGTTTTACGTGGTGCTACAAGTTTGTATTTATCATTGTTTAGTTAGAAAAAAATGAGTCAATTAAATAAATATGCTAATTTTTTCTTTGACAGTAAAAAAAGTATCAGTGAAATGAAGATTTAGTTAAAATATAAATACTGGAAAGTGTTTACGATGAAATTGAATTTATGATTAGAACATACATTCAATGAACATATTCATGCAAGTTTATTTTATAGAGGTTGGTAATTTTACACCAACTTTGTTGAATCCAGCCTTGCAAAAGTTTGAGGGGATCGATCTACAAGGAATGGCAATGAAAGCTGGCTTAAAACCAGGCGATTTCTTGCTTCAAGTTAATGATGTTGATGTACGGCAAGCACCACATGATCAAGTACACAAGTTGATACAATCATCAGGAAGTACTGTTACATTAAAGGTAAGTTTTATGTTAGAAATGTATTGACTTTTTCATGCCATTATCTTCAGTAATCGTAATAAAATTAATTAAATAAATGCGTATTTTTTAAACTGATGTAAATTTTACCACATAATATAGTTATATTTTTTATAAGTACAGCCTAGCTACTATTAGTAATAATAATAATATTTTTTTAAAAATGTTTGCATTTTTATATTTTTTTATAGTTGCACTTTTCATTGTGCTATGACAATATATTTATTTCGATTAGTCATATCTAATCCATCTATATCAATTTCTAATCATATAGGTATATTATGATCACTTTTTGATGATTGAGTGCTTGATTATTCTACTATTGTAATTTTAGTACATAGCAATGAAAGAATGTCATTAACAACTGATTTCTAGCAAAATATAATCTAGGTGGTTACTGTCGATCGTAGTTCATTCAACTTTCGAGTTGCTCAAACAATGCCAGGAAATATGGCCCGTGCAGGTAGCTGATATTAACTGCTTTGAGTTGCTTTATCTTATTATAATTTAAAATCAGCATGAAATTTATTCCATAAAAACAACAAATGTTGTAAAAATGTGAAATGTTAATTTATTTTATTTTGTGGCATGGTATCTTTTTTCCTATTGCTATTTAATATATGCTTTCTCCTCGTTAAACATCTAGCTTTTATGGTTCTGTGAAATAAAATTTTGTATGTATATATACTAAATAAAAACTAAATATATGTAAAGCACAGTATAGAAATGACGTATAGAAATGTATAGTATAGAAATTATATATATATATATA